AATTATGTATATGGAATATTGAATATTCTGTTAGACATTGTTGATGTTTTCCTGAACTGTTTTTTCTCTCTCATTCTTTGCTGCAAGAATATGTAGTTGGATGAGTAGGGAAGGGAGGACAGATGGCTTAGGAAATGAAGGTGATATAAAAACAAAAAGTAGCAATAAAATTTCAAAAAAGAAAGTAAAAGGATAAAAGTAACAGGATCAAGATTCCAACCCAGATCCTTTGATTCTAAATCCAGTGCTCTTCCTATGATACCGTGATTATGGAGAAGGCTTCCCCAGTCAGGATCTTGTGGGCATCTAACTTGAGTGCATAGTTCTATGGAGCCTGCCGGATAGAGAGGAACAGGGTGAGTCTTAGAATTAGCATGGCTCCTCAGCAAAATTATGAAGGGGATAATGTTGTGTTATTGAAAGAATACTGGATTTGGAGTCGGAGAATGTGGCTTCACCTAGCTTTGTGTTATACCTCTGTAGGGTGTAGAGAGGCAGAATGTCTTTCCCTCTCTGGCCCTCAGTTCCTTCATCTGTCAAATGAGGGGCTTACTAGACAAGGATGTTGAAGAACTGGGGATGTTTAGCCTTGGCAGGATGAGGGTTAAGAAAGGGAAAGAAAATAATGATATTTTATTTTTTAAAAAAGGAGAAAATTAACTTATCAAAATAAAAAAGAATTTGCAACAAATGATAAGGAAATTGTTAGAAGCGATTTTGCCCAATTATATGTCAACACAACTGTTACATTAAGTGGATGACTACTTAAAGAAATGGAAAATATCCTGATCAACAAAATAAGAATAGAAAATTTGAATAACCTGATCTCAGAAAAAAAACCCAATAAGCCACAAAGTAACTCCCAAAGGGTGTGTGTGTGTGTGTGTGTGTGTGTGTGTGTGTGTGTGTGTGAGAGAGAGAGAGAGAGAGAGAGAGAGAGAGAGAGAGAGAGAGACAAAGACAGAAACCCAGGCCTGTATGGATTTAGAAGTGAATTCTATTTACAAATAAAGAGGTCTGAAGTTTCATGTATAATTCTAGCTTTCTGTTTTACATTTGTATATGCAAATGCCCATTAAAAAAAACACAAAAAACAAGTGAATTCAATAAAACATTCAAAAAACAATTTATTCTTATGTTACCTAAAATTATCGCAATCCCCTTCTAAGGTATCTTCCATTTTTCTCTGTATACGTATTGTCTGTACCTACTTATTTGCTGTTTCCTCCATTATTAGAATTGTAAGCACCTTTAGGGCAGGGACTGTTTTTGCCTCTCTTCTTCTCCTCTGTTCTTAGCCCAGTGCTTGGCACATAGAAATTAATTAATAAATACTTGTTGATTTGATTACTTGGTGGATCTGCAAAAATAGGGGAAGAAGGCATCTTCCTTCTTTGAGACAATAAGGTCCTGCTGTCCAAGCAAAGAGAGGTAAAAAGAAGAAATAATCTCTTTTAATGTTTAAAGGGTTGGGAGCCCAGGAGAGACACAGGGCCTAGATTTGCTTTGCTTGACCCTACAGACCAGAATCAGAAACAATGGGTACAAGATATGGATTGACAGCTTTAGTCTTGATGCAAAGAACAACTCTCAAGTAATTTGAGCTTCTCCAAAGTGGAATAGGATGCTAGGGGGTTAGTAAGTCCTCCTTCACCAGAAATCTTCCACCATGATGACATCCAGAAGACTTCTTGTCGGGGATAGAATAGAGGGGGTCCTGATGGTGCATAGGTTGGACTAGATGGCTTTGAGGTCCCTTCTAACTTTGGGATTTTCAGATGCCGTCATTAGATGATCTTACAGTTCTATAACTTATAACAGGTTATTTTGTGGCCCCATTGCCCCTTTTCTCTAGTGTTTTAGATCTGATCTAGGTGTGGCCTTCCTCTTTCTCCCTATCCTCTATCAAAGTTTACTCTGCAAAGGCCCTCCTCTAAGTGGTGTATACTATAGTGTGAATTTAAATGAATGTATTACAGCTCCCAGGAATATTTGCATTTTAAGCCTAAACTCTCTGCAGAGAGAAGACTGTGTCCCAGATTAATCCTGCTTAATCCATTTAGAGGAATTTTAGGCATCATCTTGCAGTTACGGAAAATTTTTGCTGGGGAGAGGATGGGCAGGCAGAGAAGGTTTCATCTTCCCTCCCACTCAACTCCCCACCCCACTCCCAAATCATACTCTTGATAACCGGGTGTGAGAGTAGCCTGACCTTAAAAAAATACACAAATAGCATGAATGGTAACATGGGATAGAGATTCTGAGAGATTAGAGCTTATTTACTTTAGGTGTCTCATTTATCCTCCTCCTCCTCCTTTCAACCCACTCCAGGGTAGTGATCTGCATCTTACCACTGGACCCAGACGGTTCTGAAGGATAAAGTGAGGCTGGTGACTTGGCACAGCCCTGCCTCACTTAAATTCAGTTGACTTCCAAGTCATGGCATCACCTCCCTGATGTCATGGTCCTCTTTGAGACCGAAGGATAAGTAAGAGAAGTTAGCATTGGAGCTGGGAGTTCCTCCTGAAGTCACCAGGTGGCGACATAGTTCTGAAAGTGTCTTTCTGGTTATGAACTGACCAATGTTTGTTCCTTTGGGATTCTCCTATTCCCCCATTATTCTGCCGCCTCCGCAGCCAATAATAATCCAGAAGTCATAATAGGTGCTAGCTACCTTAAAGGGTTATTTTGAGGAAAGTTCTTTGTTAGTACCTAACATATGCTCTCATTTCTCAGAGCACAGTGTATCTATCACACTGCATACCCAATTGGATCGTTTTATAGAGAAAACTGAGGCTGAGGTGAAGTAACTTACCCAAGGTCACACAGCAAAATGTCTAGGGCAGAATCTGAATTTAGGTCTTTCTGATTCCAAGCCAGGCACTCTAGCCACTGCACCATCTGCCTAACCATTTATTAATTTGCCATTTAGGGTCCTAGCCCTATTTATTAATTAATCAACAATCAATGTTTATTCATTATTAATCTTTATTAATGCCTAATTAATAAACTATTAGCTATTCACAAATTAGTAATTAACTAACGTTAGTTGATTTATAAAATATTGAAATTTATCGATTAGATTTGTTCATTAATTAATAAAAACATTAATATTTATTCATCAATAAATTATTAGTATTTACCAATTAATAGAATGCTATGATTTGTTCATTGTTAATATTTTTAGCTAATAGGTGATTAATAGCTCCAGCTATTTATTAATTCTGTATCCTCAGGAAAGTAGTTTCAATCCTTCCTAATATTATACTCATTATAGACATTTTGAAAAAACCAAGCTTTTAGGAGAGGAATTTAATTATTGTTAATAAAAGCTCACATTTATAATGGGCTTTAGGATTTACAAAGCACTTTGTATATATCTTGTCCCCATTATAAGGAAAAGGAAACTGAGGCTCAGTGAAATTGAGACTTGCCCCTGGTCAGATACATGGCTTTACCAGCCATGCAGGGATGCAAACCTAGATCTCTCCTGACTCCAATTCCAGGGTTTTCCTGAGGCATCTCACTGCTTCACTTAGGTCAGCTTTCCAGCCACTATGCCAATTGTTTCAAGTCCTTTTTTTTTTTTTAGAAAAAAACCTCATAATTTATTTGTATAAAATTTACAAAAACCAGCCGGGCTGCCTATTACTTGTTTTCCTGAATGGACATCTGGACAACAGCCTTCTGTGCTTTATCTGCAGTGTCAGGGGAGCCTGGTGGATACCATCTGATGATACATTCAACCAGTTCTTTTGCCCTAATTCTACAGTGGTTGCTTCCAAAAACTTGCACCTCCGCTTTTTTGGGCTTTTCGCTGTCTTCCTCTTGGTTGAATAGATCTATTTTAATCTGAGCTCTGGAAAGGGTCTCCATTGGTCGAATCCTTGATCCTTTCATTTCTATGAGGGCCCCCACGAGCCAAGCCTCGACCAGGAACCACAGAGGGCCCTTTTCTTGGGGCTTGGGGCTTGGTCTCCGAGGATGGGACTGGTTACAGTCTTCTCGAGCAAGCTGGTTGCTCATGGTGGCCTCGGGACCCAAGTTAAGCAGGCCAAGAGGAAAGACTTTTCAAGTCCTTTGCCAGCCCATTCCAGAGTCTCATTAGCCCATTCTCCCTAGAAGGCTCACCCTTCATTCACCTATCTTGTACTCATCAGGGACATTTGGCAAATCATTTTGTATCAGATATTCTCAAGCTTCTATGACATATATAGGGACCATACATTTTGTGAGATATCTAACTTGATTGACTTCTTTTTAAAATCATTAGTGAATATTAAAACAAAAATTACAAACTTGTAAAATCCCCACAAAAAATTATAGCAACTTCCCTCCCCCCCCCAAAAAAAAGCCCCAATGCACTGTGATCTAGTTGGAGCCATCTCAAAGATGCAAGGGTGGTTTAACAATTAACACAATCGTGTTAAAAACAAAAATATCCAAAGCCAAGTAACTATATCAATAGATGGAGGGAAAAGAAGCCTCTCACAAAGCACAACACATGCCTATGCTGAAAATCCTATAGTGCATAAGTAATAATAAAAATAATAATAGCAGCTACCATTTATATAGCCAGCCCCTACTATGTGCCAGGCACTGTGCTAAGCACTTTACAGATATTATCTCATTTGATCCTCGCAGCAACCCTGGGATGTAGGTGCTGTTATTACCCCCATTTTACAGATGAGAAAACTGAGGGAGACAGAGGCTAAGTTACTTGCCCAGGATCACATAGATAGTATCTGAGGCCATTAGTTCTTCCTGACTCCAGGAGCAACACTCTAGACACTGTTCCACCTAGTACTGTAGAGAAAAACTTTTAAAAATATATGATAAAAGCTCTTATGTAGCATCTAAGTATTATATATTTATTTTTATTTTGAACTTAGCAAACAAAAATTAAAACAGGTACTTTCATTATATATATTTGTGTACATGTATAGATATACACATACATACATACATACACATGTATATGTATATTAGAATAGAAAAAGAAGGGACACAAAACCATGAATCTCTACTCTGCAGAGCTCACTTTCTTTTTTCAGCATACAATAAATTCAACCTGCAACTTTCAAAACTATCCTACTTGTCTATTCTCCTTTCTGGCCTTCCTTCTGCTCTCTTTTTTGCACTAAAAAAAAAGCCTCCGTGGCCCTCTTTTGTTTCTTTCCTATGTGTTTATCTCTCTCTTTTTTTTTTTCAGCCTGACCTCTCTTAACAAGCAGTGTTATTGTCTAGCATAGTTATCTCTGCACATACATTCTGCAATAGAGCTTAGTCTTGCTAAGGACCATGAAATCCCAGTACCCAGTGTGGTTTTCTGTACATAATAGGCACTTAATGAATGCTTCTTGAATTGAATGGAATGGATTCTAACACCTTTAATAAAACGTTCCACGTCTTAGCATCTTTACAATTCTATCTGGCCTCTAACCTGAATCCTTCTTGCCCTAAGTGGTTTCCTTGTGTTTATTAGTGAAAGAAACCCCTTCCAACTCAAACTTAAGAATTCATAGAGAAGGGAGCCCCGCTTGGTTGTCAGAATTCACATAGCCACTTCTGTGTACTCCACTGGCTCAGAGGAGAAGGAGTTACTGAAATTCCAGGCATTATTTGTACAATTCTTGGGGTCCACATTGACATAATCACCAGCTGCTTTTATGTTCTCATAGTCTTCAAGAGACAAAGTCGTTCGGGAAGCAGGGGCTGGAAAGACCAGGGTGCTGTAATTCATATCGTTGAGTGCCTAAGAACACCAGAAAGGAGGCAGAAAATCAGGAGCCAAAATCCTTCTCCCATTGTGGATGGGGTGAATGGGTAGACCTTAGCACAAAATTTTTATCTCTTAGTATATTTAGGGTAGGGGCAATGGGATAATTATTCAGTGAAAAAGATGCTGACACCCACATCACAGTTCCACTTCATGGGTGTTAAGGGCACAACACTGTGGCGATCTGTCAAATCCACATAAAACTTTTTGTCTCTCCCTTTATACCAGACAAGAAGTATGAATCTTTTCTTTTTCTTTTATTGGATATTTACAGCACCTTACTGTAAAATTTGGCTTTCGTATTTGGTCACAGGCTCTGTGTTTTCTGCTGGTCTTTGCGTGTTGTCTGTGGCTTTCACAAAACTCCCCCAAAACTCCCATTTAATTTCTTATGCTGACTGGAGATATACCCCCTCCATGGGGAAAGTTGCAATGTGGAAGGGATAACTGTGTTTCATTTAAGTGGTATGTGAGCAGGGGTGGACAGTAATGGTGGTTCACAGAGTGGGAAGGGAGAAGCCCAGGGACTCATCTCCTTGTGAGACCAGAATTACAGGCCTGACTATACCCAAGAAAACAGGACTGTGGTCTCTTCATTAGCACATTCATTTTAGTAGTCAACTCAGACCTCACTTTGCCTCCTACCTTTTTCTGTTCAAACCACCCACATTCAACAGGAAATTGGCTGATTTACTATCTTTTCTTTCCTGCTCCCTACTCCTACTTCCTTGGTCATTTCATCCTAAGATATCTGTTTCCCATGCCAGGTCTCCTCAGCCTGGACCACTCTGCCCACCCTCCTAGGGCTCACTTCTCTACTACTTGCTTTGGCCCCTGGAAGACCCACTTACATTTCTGTTGGAAGCTGGAGGATATCTTTCTGAGCTATGTGAGGAGGAATCACTGTCACTGCCACTATCATCTAGGGGAGAGAAGGACATTAGAATTGGATAGGAGCTTAGAGGTTTTCTGCGCGAACCCCCTCAGTTCACAGAGGACCCCAGAAACCATTCTTCTTCCACGGGAAAATCAATCAACACATATTGATGAAATAATTCCTACACCCCAAGTGCTGGTGATACAATGAAAGGCAAAAACAGGATCAAAGTGGGAGGGAATGGAGGGTGGTGACTTGGAAGCAATGACAGTGAAGGACAGAGAGTGAATTAGAGAAAGAGATAGAGAGACAGGGTCACAGAGGCAGAGAGAGCAAGAGGCAGAATGACAGTAGAGAAAGAGACAAGAACAGAAGGAGAGAACAACAGATTGTTATTGTTGGGCAGTGGATTCAAAACTGGGATCCCATTTGGGACTAGAGACCATCTAGTCCAATCCCCTACATTAAGAGAGGGGTAAACTGAGGCATAGAGGGGAAATGATCGGCCCAGGGTCACATAAGAAATAGTAGGACAAGGATTCAAACTCAGGTTCTCAGGGTCTGGTCACAGATATCCTCTTCTGTCTTAAGAAAGCCAAAAGTTCCAATTATACCATTTGGGCAATGGGTCAAATGGCTGATTGAATCCTGTAGACATAAAAATAATCATAATAATGATAATAATAGCAATAGCTCACGCTGTAGGCTCTTTAAGGGTTTTTAGTTTGTTTGTTTGTTTAATGGAGGAAATAAGGGTTAAGTGACTTGCCCAGGGTCACACAGCTAGTAAATGTCTGAGGTCACATTTGAACTCAGGTCTTTCTGACTCCAGGCCTAGTGCTCTAGGCACTATGGTGCCATCTTGCTGCCCATTTTTAAGGTTTACAAACAGGGGAATGCTGGTAAATATTTGACAACTGACAATGGGGGGGAAATGTACCCACTACACGATTTTAAGTTTAATCTGCATATTAACATTTTCTCCATCAGTTTCTTAAATCTAGACAATGGACAAAATGATAAATAAGTCCTGTTTTCCAAGTGGGATTTCTGAAGTTTAAAGGCTCACACTGAAAATTTAACCATCAGCTCAAGCTTGCTCCAGCACACCCCTGATACTGATGAGGATGGGATCTAGACCCCCAAAAGGAAAAACTCTGGATTTTCCCACATGGCCAAATCTCTGGAGTTCCCCTGAGGCTATAATCCCATCAACTGGCCTTTCATTGTGCCTATGCCCAATCTGTTAGCCTTAACCTAGCCTAGACCTCCCTATGTCTCCCGGGGCCACTTCCCACCCTTAATCCTATCCAGGCTCTGTTCTCCTTTGGCCACTCCTGGAGTTCTATTACCTCATAGAATACTTGGCCACTCCTAGATCCCTCTCATAGTCTTTCTGTATATAAGGTCCATCTTGTCTCCATTAAGAGGCTCTGATTCTTATAATCTAGCCACTGCTCAGATTTTCACAATCTAGCCAATAGCTCACAGATGCTCAGATTCCTTAAGAGTCTGGCTAATATTGGTGAATCTTCAATAAACCTGGTTTTTGGCTGAAAGAAGACTTGGGTTGAATTCTTTCAGGCAGGACCCACGTATCATGATTTTGGGATTCCAGGACCCCTCACCTCTAGACCTCCTCAATACAGAAGACTTTATTTGCAAAACTGAAAAATTGGCAGGGCAACTATGATTAACCCCATTTCACAGACAGAAAAATCAAGGCTTCAAAAAGTGAAATGATTTGCCCAAGGTCACAATATATGTTATGATGGACTCCAAACAAGTTTTCTGACTTTGAGTTTGCTCTTCGTTTCAATCTAACACATTGCTTCTTTTCCAAGAATATCAATGTGGCAGGAGAAGAGGATCAGGCAGAAGGTTCAGGAATGCAGTACAAAGGGCCTTAAACCAGGAAGCAGACTGTGAGGAAAACAGCCTTGTAAGGAGGCAGCCTGGCTTGATAGAAAGAGCATTAGATTAAGAGATACGAGACCTAGGGTTTAGTCTAGTTGGACACTGACTCACTCTGTGATCTTGGGTAAATCACTTCTCATCTCCAGCCTCCAGTTGCTTACCTCAGTCTCTCATGTTTCCACTTCACAAGAGTATATAAGGAAATTGTTTTAAAAGTCTTAAGAGATATCCAAACATGAATTAGTTCTATTTTGCCCTGTTCCTGGAGATTACTGACAAACATTCAGGTGTTCCTTGGCTTTGGAAAGCTGGAGGAGACAACATGTGAAGAGCTCTGGCTCTAGGGTCCAAGGGCCTGTCAACAAGCATTTATTAAGTGCCAACTGCGTGCTGAGCTCTTCGGATTCAAAGAAAGGCAAAGAAAAGTCGCTGCTCTCAAGGAGCTCACAGTCTAAGCAGGAAGACAACAGGCAAACAGATATGTATGAACAAGATATATACAGGGTAAGTTGGAGATAATATTAGAGAGAACACAGTAAGATTAGGGAGGACTAGGAAAGGCTTCTTGTAGAAGGTAAGACTTTAGCTAACACTTGAAGGAAATCAGAGAGACTTGGAGATAGAGATGAGGAGAGAGAGACAGAGACAGAGACAGAGAGACAGAGAGAGACAGAGACAGACAGAAAGACAGAGAGAGAGAATGAGAGTTCTCATCTCCTATGATTACTATCCTGGATGACATTGGGCAAGTCACTAACCTTCTCCTGGATCTCAGTTTCTTCATCAGTAAAATGAGGCTGTTGGACTCAATGGCCTCTGAGTTCCCTTATACCTCTGGACCTATAATCCCCCTGACTAAAATGTCTCTCAGAGGAATCCTCTTATCCCATCTGTGCGGGGACCATTCTTTCCCTTGTCTACCCAAAGCAAAGCCTCAAGAACCAGCAAGTAGATTTAAGAATCAGCTCAGTGTCAAATAATTTTGATAAGCAGATTTCTCTTACCAGGAAACTGAAAAGATAACACTTAAGTGTCCAGCTTACTTATCATCACCTAGGGAGCTGACAGCTGAATGAGTGTTTAGTGAGCAAACACAGGGTGGGTCATTCATTTGTAGAGGCAATCGATATGCAAATGGTTCCTGAATTTCCCTGTCAGGCCACCAGATTTACTGGTCCTAGAGCAATAAAAATAGTAGATGGCATCCTGGCCTAATGGAAAGGACCTGGGAGTCAAGAGACTGAACCAAAGAGCAGCAGAATTTTAGAGTGAATTTCATCACGTTCAATTCTGCCCTGTGTTCTAACCTATAAAGACCTTTTTCAGATCCTGACTTGTCACCCAGGGTGATAGGTATCCTTCTCAGTTTTGTGTCTGTGTCCTTTATCAAAAACGTGGAAGACCAAAGAATCAAGCGCTGTTTCCTGGAACACTCCATTGGAGAGACCTCTTGCCAAGAGGTCTCTTGGTCATAGAACCAAGCAAGGACTCTTCTTTGAATCCTACCACTCAGCCAGCTCTGAGCCCACCTAATCGCCTGGTCTTCTAGCCCAGATCTCTCCATCTTTTCCAACTATGATAGACTTAGCTATTCTTAGCAATACAATGATCTAAGACAACTCTGAAAGACTTATGATGAAAAATGCTATCCATCCACAGAGAAAGAACTGATGAAGTCTGAGTGCAGATTGAAGCATACTTTTAAAAAAACTTTCTTTATTTTTCTTGGTTTGTTGTTTTGTTTTTGTTTTTGTTTTTGGATCTGTGTTTTTTTTCTCTCACAACGTGATTAATGTGAAAATATGTTTGTGTGACTGCACCTCTATCAAACTGCTTGCCTTCTTAGTGAGGGGGGAAGGGAAGGAAGGAGAGAGAATTTGGAACTTAATTTTTTTTAAATGAACTTTAAATTATTTTTACGTGTAATTGGTAAAAATCAAATGTTTTTTAAAAAGAATATAGGAGACAGACATTTTGGTAGGCTGCAGAGAAGGAAGCAGTAGATAGGGACAAATTGAAGACTAGAGTAGGGAGGACAATAGTGGGAGGCTGTGTGTTGGAGAAGATAGAAGGATAGTACTTTAGGATAGTACTGTAAGTATAGAGAGGAGAGGAGGGGAGAGTTGCTTTGATTGTGAGCTTGGATTGGAGTTTTTTGTGTCATATACTTTTTTGGGAGAAAAACAAAGTATATAAAAGAAAGAAGGAAGGAAGGAAGAATGAGTAAAGAAAGGAGGAAGGAAGGGAGGAATGAAGAGAGAGAGAAAGAAAGAGAAAGGAAGGAAGGGAGGGGAAAAGGAAGGGGAAAGAAGGAAGGAAGAGAAAAGAAAGAAGGAAAGTAGGAATGAAGGAAAAGAAAGATAGAAAGGAAGAAAAAAGAAAGAGAAAAAGAAAGAAAGAAAGAAAGAAAGAGAAAGAAAGAAAGAAAGAAAGAAAGAAAGAAAGGAAGGAAGGAAGGAAGGAAGGAAGGAAGGAAGGAAGGAAGGAAGGAAGGAAGGAAGGAAGGAAGAAAAGAAAGGAGACACTGGCACACTACTGTAACACATAACGCAAGATGACAAATGAAATCAAGGAAGGACTTAGCGTCTGAGAAAGCGTAAAGAATCACTGAGAACTCTTCTGAGTTGGACAAGGTGTGATTTGGGGAGGATAAACAAGGGGCTACCCTTCCAAGGTCTCCAGGGGGAGCAGCAGCACCTCTAATGATCTCAAAGCAAGGTAAGATGACTCACCCCTGTAAGACAGGGCAGGACCTGGCGCATTCCTCGTAGACCCTGTCTTTTTCAAGGCAGGTAGATCATAATTGCCTTCTGGCTTCTTTGGTGCCTGGGTCTGGGCCTGGATGCTGGCAGCTTTCACCATTTGGCCATGGTAGTTGGCTAAAGAGGGAACGTTTGGTGATTAAGATCTAACCTTAGACTTTTCCTGTTTCTATCCGATATCTGCTCAAATGCTTTCATTAGAGCATTAGAAAACTATAACCATTTAGAGGGGTTCTCAAGAGTCGTATCATTTCACCCCCTACCTTCAAGAGACTAGATATCTAAACCAGTTAAGCAGATTTATTCTATTGGTGTTTCTACGCTCTCCTGTAGCCCATTAGGTGCCTGTGTTATTTACAGTGGACACAGATACTCTCTTGTTCAACTCAAGTCCATTTCTCAGCTAACATTTAGTCCAGTAAGGAGATGAGAAAAACAGCAGGCTAAACAAAGGCAGTTCCTTCATCCTTTCCTCATAGGCCCTATTTTCTTTGGGAGTTTATTGGGCTTCACATTTTTCTTTTTCTGAGGTCGGGTTTTATTTTGTCTCTATATCGTATTCTGTTTACTTAGGTATTTTACATTTTTGCAAGTATTCATTTATTTCTTTTAAGTTTTGAATTGTACTAGCATACAACTGGGCAAAATAATTTCTAATGGTCTCCTTTATTTCATCTTTTATCATTTCTTCTTTTTTTCTTTCATTTTTATTTGTGTATTTTTTCCTTTCTTTTTTTGTTGTTGTTCAGTCATGTCCAACTCTTTGTGACTCTGTGAATGTAGTAAGTAGGGTTTTCTTGGCAAAGATGCTGGAGTGGTTTACCATTTCTTCCTCCAATATGTCCCCATTTTAAAGATGAGAAACTGAGCAAATAGGGGTTAAGTGACTTGCAAAGGGTCACACAGCTAATAAGTGTCTGAACCCTGGTTTGAACTCAGATCCTCCTGACTCTAGGCCTAGTCCTCTGTTCACTGCATCACCTAGCTGCCCTTCCTTTTTTTTTAGATCAAATTAATTACTGGGTTGTCTGTTTTATTGGTCTTATTATTTGTAACCAAAATAGATTTTTATATTGGTTTTCAATTTGTTTATCTCTTCAAGATTTTCAGAATTGTGAGTGTGTGGGTTTATTTGAGATATTTTGCTTTGTTGCTTTTCTAGTTTTTGTTTTGTTTTGTTTTGTTTTTATTTTTTTATTTTATAGGCAATTGGGGTTAAGTGACTTGCCCAGGGTCACACAGCTAGTGTCAAGTGTTTGTTCTGAGGTCAGATTTGAACTCAGGTCCTCCTGACTTCAGGGCCAGTGCTCTATCCACTGTACCACGTAGCTGCCCCCCAGCTATTGACTAGATTATAAGAATCTGAGCAGTGGCTAGATTTTAAGAATCTAAGCCTGTTTTGTTTTTTAGTTTCAGGCCCAATTCGTTGATCTCTTTTATTGATGGAAAGTGCTCAGAGATATGTTTTTCCCTAAGGACTGCTAAGGCTGTGCCTCACAAGTTTTGGTATGCCTTGTAGTTAATCATTTTCTCTGATAAAACTACCTATTAGATTAGTTGTTTGACCCACACATTCTTTAGACATATTGTTTGGTTGGCATTTAAATACGAATCCTCTTTTCATATTCCCCTTACTGAATATAATTTTTATTGTGTTGTGGTCAGTAAAGGAATACTTTTAACATTTCTGCTTTTTGTAGGTACTGTTATGATCCCTTTTGATTATTTGTCCCCAAGCAGAGAGTCTGAATGGTAGAAAGACATGGAGTGGCACTATTTTGGATGGAGACTATAGTCAAGGTAAGGAGAGAAAGCATTTAGAGAGAGCTTCCTAACTATAAGGGAGAGCTGGAATTAGTACAGGGCAAACAGGGCTTTGTGCCAGGTCATTTCCTTGGGGTCAACTAGGTGGTGCAGTGGATAGAGCACCAGCCCTGAAATCAGGAGTACCTGAGTTCAAATCCAGCCTCAGACCAAACACTTGACACTTACTAGCTGTGTGACCCTGAACAAGTCACTTAACCTAAATTTCCTAAAAAAAAAAAGGTACACCCAGGTCATTTCCTCCCCACTGGGGTGTCTTCGCATGATCTCCTCTTACCATAACCATCCCTGAGCCTCACCTTAATGTCTTGCAGAGATGTGAGGTATAACTGCCTCCACAGCACTCTTTGGAAGATAAGTTATGAGCTAAATCTCTGTTTAGGCTGGTTTCTGTGCAACCCCACCCCTCTAACAGAATTCACTTCTAATGTGTGGGAACAGGGGAAATTGTGTCAGGGCCCTGCCATGGTGGAAGTTCTTTTTTCTGAGGGGCCCTTTGGAGAGCGTGGTCAATGTATATGGTGCCTAAGACTTGGCACACTAGGGGACTCTGTTCCCGATTTAGCCAGTGTTCAAATCAAGGTTGGGATAGATGGATACCAAGTATCTAAGTTCTGCCCTAGGCACAGGGTTACACAGGTTGCTTTTGTTGAAAATTACCTATTTGCCTGTGGAGTAAAATGTATAGGATTAAGAGGAGAATGGCCTGAAGAAGGAGGGAAATCACTTCGATCAGTATGATGTGCCAGAGTGGGAGTTCAACCTGTTGGAAGCTGAAAAAAAAAAGGGGGAAGGGGGGAAGAGGACCAGAATTAGAGTGTTTAAGGATGCTTTAAGGATTCCCTTTTGTGACCCTGAAAAGTCATCTAACCCCTCATATGTGGCAAAGGCTAGCAGGAAGGCGGGATGGCTGGGGAGGCTGAGGAACTGGTTGCTGGTTGGCCCAGAGCCCTGTCCCGATCAGGCTGGGGCCAGAAATCAGGCCCAGGTGTGTGTGGGGGTGGGGAGAGGTGTTCATAGGGCTTGTGATTCCCAGTACTAGCCTCAAGCTATTTGCTGTCTTGACCGATGCCATCCTCACTGAAGCTCAGGCTTCTCTGGGGAAAGAATGAGCAGGTAGGAAGACTTCGAGCTGCTGCCAGGACCCTTTCTTTGGGAGATCTGCAGGAGGTAAAACATCAGAGTTAGGACTCTTGGTTTGGAATATGACTAGTGGAGAAATATGTTTTGTATGATGTCTTAAGGATGATGCCTTCTCCATGGATGGGGAAGGGAGTGGAGGGAGAAAGAATTTGGAACTGAAAATCAAAATAATTTTTTCAAATTAGTGAATGTTGCAAAGAATAAGCTGAGAGAGAAAGAGAGAGAGAGGGAGAAAGAGAGAGAGAATGATGAGAAGGCACCGCAACTCCACCTCTTTATAGAGGTGGGAGGTCCACAAGTGCATATTATACATATTTTCAGACTTTTTTGATATATTGGTCAGTTTTTATTATTTTTTCCTCTTGTTTTTGTCTTCAAAAAATACTATTTATTCATGGAATTATTCTCTTGGAGGGGAAGAAAGGAAGGTACTAAGGAAAACTGTGATGAAATAGAAAACAAAAGGCATCTATAAAATGTATTAAAATTCTTTTTAAAGAAGATAAAAATCATTCCTATTCTTAAAAATTGTGTTAGGTGCTGAACTTAAGTTTCCAACAGAAAATATTAATGTATTAATATCTGTATAAAGATGACAATGCTCTCCCAAATTAATTTATGTATCTAATTTAATACTAATCAAAACACCAAGACAAAGGTTCTTTCACAGAATTGGATCAAATCATAATGAAATTTATGTGGAAAAACAAATTGGCAAGAATATCAAGGGGTATCCTGAAAAAAAAAGCTGAAGCAGAATTGCAATACCAGATATATAAGATGAGTGTTTGACAAACCTACAGTAAATAAAAATTGATGAAAGAATTCATTATTTAATAAAGATACTGAGAAAATCAGTTAGCAATTTGACAGGAAACTGATATAGACACAGTGCTTAAATCACATACCTCAGTCGGGAGGCCAGTCAACAAGCTTTTACTAAGCACTTTATTTAGGACAGGCACTTGGCTAAGTACTGAGAATACAAAGAAAGGCAAAAATGAAACTCGGTCAATTTCTGCCAGAGGATAGACTCAAACATCAACAATGTACTACAAATAAGATGGAAGAAAATGGAATAAGGAATTTACCTCAGTTATGGAGGGGAGAGGACTTTTCCTACTAAATAAAAAGAAGAAATCATTAAAGACAAGACATGTTCTTAGCTACATCAAAATAAATTCCATTCTCTAAAAAAGCAATGAAATCAAGAGCAAAACAGAGTAAGAAAATATGCATGGTAAATGTGATAGATAAAAAGGTAAACGTAAAAATCAACTGAAACCACTAATAATTAAAAAAGGTAACTTTCAGTCTACAATGGATAAAAGGTCAAAAGATATTAAGAGATCATTTTTAAAAGAGGAAAATCAAATCATTAATAATTACTTCAAAATGCTCAGTCTAACTAATAAACAAGAGATAAAAAGTAAAACAACTTTAAGACAATACCTCTTACCTATCAAAATGGCAAAAAAAATTAAAAGCAATAACATTCAAGGTTGGTGGGGTTGTGGAGAAACAATATTCATTCATTGCTAATAGAATTGCAAATTAGCAGATTTTTTTTTTGTAAAGCAGTATGAAGTCAAAGTTGCAAACATAATCATGGCCCTGATTTGTATATTTATTTATTTAAATTTAAAAATATTTATCTGTAATTTTAAAAACTGGAAGCAAATTAAGTGTCCAATAATAATGGAATGGTTAAATAAATTATGGTTCATTAATGTGATGGATATAATGGGAGTAATGACTAGAAGTGTGATATTGTGGATTGAGAGAGGCTCAGCTTTAGGAAGATGGAGGTCAAATCCTTTGGATATATATGCTAGCTGCGTAAGCTTAGGTAAATCACTTAATCTGTCAAACAATTTTCCAGGAGTTACTTATTCCTAAACAGGTTGACCCTCAGTTGGTACAGGGAGTTCCCACACCAAGAATTGTCTGCACTAAGGAAGCCACAGCTCCTTGGCAAAAAATGTAATAGGACAAAACAGTTATGCCTTGCTAAAAGAGTAAAGAGATTTATCCACCTTCATTTGTATTTATTCTGTGTATTGCCTTACACAGGTGATGTCCTTATGTGTACATACTTGATTGCATCCTGAACCATTAATTTTCTCATGAGAATTCCATACTGCTGGCTGATTTTTAGTTTGGACAACAGAGTTGCTGCCAGATCTCAGCCTCCCAGAGCCCTCACAATCACTGAGTTACTGTATACTTTATAGCTTTCCTGACACTGGTTGAAGAGCTGAGTACCTTAAAAGTCACAGTAATGTCAGTGACAGAGTCAGTGATGTTCTTTCCATCAAGAATGACCAGGTCTGGCCAATTTGCCTCCCTTTGCCTCAGAACAACCAGGTTCACAGGATCCTCAGTGGTTTCTTGCATTTATCCTAATATTTGTAGGATGGCACCATGCTATTTGGTGACGGTCCCATTCAAATGATGGTTACAGTGACCAAGAATATGGAAGATTTCATTCATTGATCCCCACTGATGTCAGTGCTTATACCCAGAACCAAACTCCTGGCCCCATTCTGAGAGAGACCATTTAATTTGGCTCTGTGGATTAAAGGCAAGCCCACAAAGTAGATAAAGGATCCCTACCAGTGAAAAAAAAAAATTGAGGCCAAGGCCAAAGACCTGACAGGATACACCTTACCCTGATCTGGTTTGTTGACAAGTGGTTGCTTATAAAATTGTCCAATGTTTCCATAAATTAGGATCAACAAACATGAAGACTATCAAGAAATCTGAAAATGATGCAAAATGAAAAAAAAGCAAAACCAGGATAGGGTACACTAACCATGAATATAAAATAGGCAAAGCAAAAGGGAATAAATTAGCAAACAAAGAAATTTCATGAAGAATAAGAGGGAGTAGTTTAAAAAAAGGTCTTCATTTATTTAGCTATAAATAGTCACAGACTATAAATATTTATGTAAAACAGCTGAGTCTCAAAAAGTCTTCAAGCCTTTGGGCTCATTCATGGGGAGCATGAAGAACAGAATTTTTTTTCCTTCCCATTGGTGTTTTCCTTACTCAGAATGCTGCAACTCTAGTGTTAAACCTAGGACTGCAGTTTCTCTGCCTAGGCTTATTCTAAGACAAAAACAGAATTGTCCTTTTGAAATGGTGTCTACTGACCACCAACATGAAAAAGGTCATAGCATTTAAAGGTAGACAGGACCCTAGAGATATCTTCTCCAAATTCCTCATTTTACAAGTGAGAAAACTGAAGCCCTGAGAAGGGAAGCAGATATGCCCAAGGTCACAAAGCTGGTAATTAGCAGAACCACGATGAACTGCACTTGCTCTGACTCCAGATCATGGGTTTTTGACACTTGCTTGACCTTGCTGACTCTTCAAGAACCCACCATCCCACAGGAAAGCTGTTACTTCAAAAAATCATTGACTGATACTAAAGGTTATATTTCCTGGAGTTAGTGTGTTTCCAGATGCTCATAGGATTCTAGATCTAGAGTTAGAGGGGACATTAGAGGCCATCCCGTCACACCATGCTTGTTTACCTAGGTCCAAAGAGGATAAGGTCAGCTGTGTCTGGTGGCAGAGCTCAGCTTTTGAACACTGGTGCCCTTACTTCAAGTTCAATGCTCTTTCCACATCATAAGGATGCCTACCCAAAGGAGCAGGGATTAGAAATCCACCAAATTTGTGTGTGTGTGTGTGTGTGTGTGTGTGTGTGTGTGTATTTCAATCTATGTCACACTTAGGCTTCTTGAGCTGAAAATTTGAAATTAAAGGACAAGTTGAGTGAACTTCCCCAGGAAAGGAACCGGAAATGGTGTTGGAGTTAAATGGCAAGGCTGGACCCAGTGCCCCATTCCATCCCCTTCCTCTACTGTGGAATAAGAACAGAGGAAAATAGGTAGAAGGCTATCTTAGAGGGAAAGCATTGGGAGGAAGTTGGGTGTGAGACAACCTGGAAAGGTCTCTGTGTTAAAACTGTATCTTGCTCTAAGACAATTCCAAAAGACTCACGATGGAAAATACTATCCACATCCAGAGAAAGAACTATGAAATCTGAATGCAGATCAAAGCATACTATTTTCTCTTTCTTTTATTCTTTTTATTTTTTCTTTCTCATGGTTTTTCCTTTTTGTTCTACTTTTTCTTTCACAATATGACTAATGTGGAAATATGCTTAATATAATCAGACATGTATATCTATATCAGATTGCATGCTATCTTGGGAAGTGGGGTGGAATTTAGAACTCAAAATCTTATAAAAGCAAATGTTGAAGACTAAAAATAAAATAAAATAAAATTGCCTCTTTCTCTGCTCCCTGTACCCACCCACCCCCAGTCAATATAATAAACTTTAGTGAGGAATACCAACAACAACAAGATTGCAAAGGGGAACATGGAAGTCATGTACAAATTGTCCCAAAGATCAAAGGAGCACAATTTACAAACTGCATCATATGTTAAGTAAAATTCACATCCTGCTAATACATGCTGAATCAGGGGAAACCAGCTAGATACTGGTTTCAGACAAATTCCCGACAAAATCCATACCTTCCCAGCTCTAGACCAACAGAACATCAAAAAGATGATGATAACTTTGAGATGATGACTTTGTAGTTTTACACATAACTTTGAGATGATTTGGATATGTTAATTAACCAACCTGAAGGTGGCACAGATAGGAGTTGGTCTATTTTCCCAATGAACCCTATAAAAATGGGGCAGCGAGGTGGAGCAGTGGATAGAGCACTGGCCCTGGATTCAGGAGGACATGAGTTCTAATCCAGCCTCAGACACATCACACTTACTAGCTATGTGACCCTGGGCAAGTCACTTAACACCATTGCCTACCAAAAAAAAAAAGAATAAAAATGAGACCACAAGTTCCTGCCCCTGCCCTCCATCTCCATTTGGTCCATGCTGCCTAGTGCTCCCACCTCTAATCCATGGTTTCATAAGTGATATTTTCTGCCTTTCTACCTCCTCACCCTTTTCCCCATGTTTCCTGCCTTCCTTCACCATCCCATCCCCTGTCCCCACGTTGTCTGCTTTTGTATCTCTCCCCACCTGTCTCTGT